TTTCATTTTTGTTGTTCACAGAATGTTAAACAAGAATAAAAAAAATACTCGGAGGCACTCGGTATTTTTGAATGCGTCCTTGTATATATATATATATATATATTAATTTAAGCGATTTTCGAATGTACATTTAAGATAAAAATCCATCCTATATTAAAAAATTAACAAAGAGAAATAAAAATTAACAAAGAGTACTAAAAAAATATAATAAGCATACTTCTTCATATAAAATATCGTTTTAAAATTTTGCATTAAAAATGTGTGGAGGCCGACCTATCGAGCTATCATTCATTCATAAATATGTGAAAGGTCTAGATTTTTCACAATATTTATCGTCTAGCCATTCAGTCGCTAATACAATATATATGTAGTATTTCTAGATTTGTTATAATAAAGAAGATTTTATAAATGTTGCGAAAGAAGATTCTATGATGTTGAACCTAGAAAGAAAAAAAATGCGCTTAGATCTGAAACTCTGATTTAATTGTGATTTCAAATTGCAACATATGTTATGAAATTCTGAAAATGTGCACTCGAATTAACAGTCACCACTCGCTGTCTAGTCGTGAATCCGTATCGCTCGTTTTTGCGTAGTTGAAAATATGATTTCAGATGAGTGCAAATAAAGGATATAGTAGAGATAAAAAAACCTTTCGTTTTTCTAGTCTTCTGTTTCTCATCCATTTCGTATGCACCACAAAAATGTCAAACAATATAACTATTTATAAAATGCCAGAAATAGTTATAATGGAATCCATAAAATGCTTAAGGTTAAAACTAAATTTTCATAAGTTTCAATCTTCTATATAAGAAGATATTTATAGCAAAATAAGATGACAAAACAATGGAAATGTTACAAGAAAATAATGTAATTTACATAATAATAATAAGTATAATAATAATAAGTTAAAAAGTATTGTAAAATATTATAAATTATTAATTTAAATGTAATTTTTAAAAATTTTGAAGTTTTTGCCAATATACATTTACAAATTTAGCACGCATTTTTATATTTATATGAATTAACATTTGTAAAATATTTTATTATAATTTATCTTATTTTAAATTTTATATAATTAGCATTTCTTGTTATTATTCAGATATAATGAATTAACAATTTATTAAAGAAAAGTCGCTGAGATATTGATGTAAATCTGTAGAGAAATACCTTATTTCTCAGAAACAAAATATTGCACTTTATTAATACTGATAAAAACATGATCGGTTTAGATGATTAAAGAAGTAAAAAGTTTAGAATTCATATATATATTTGTGACTTATATATAAAATCAATTAAAAACAAATTCCATAAATGTGACAATAAAATTCTTACGATTTTCTTTTGCAAACTGCGTAATTTAAATAATAGTGGGTTATTGATAATATTACATCGTTTTTATATATTTGTAGTTTTATTCATATTTTTCCCATACAATACGGTTTTAAATATAAAATCGGGGTACAGTAAATCGGCACACTTATACCTG